TTTGGGTTTCAGAGAAAATAGAGAAGGAAGACTGCATTAATTTAACTATAAATGGAGACATTTATAGTTAAAACATACAACTTTAACATAAACATTTAAACATACAACTTACGGCTGTAAAGTGCAAAAAAAGAAACACATTTATGTAAATGGGTCAGTGTGCATGTGTAGAGCTCATGCTTTAAAAATAAATCCTCACTTCAGTTTCCTGCTGTTAAAATAATATTCAGCCTATTAGTGCAGCATCGCATCCATCAAATAAAGAGAGTACTATTGTGTTTCACACTTCAGTATCTTTATTGAGGAAGCAAACAGAAGTATTTTACACAAGTTCACACACACACACACACAAGTTTTACATCTTTTATCTTAGTGTGAAACAATGCAGAAAACGGGAGAATGAAGCAGAATCAAACTTCAGAAAATAAAACGCTCGTCTGATCATGTGAATAAATTCCTTTAAATATCCTGAAAGGACTTTAGTGTGTTAACAGCTGTGCAGAAAACATACATTTTTACCATCTTTTATACAGAAGACATGCATTAAAATATCATTCAGTGTAACAATCGTTCATATACCAAAAGATCTCGTCAGGCTTATGCTCAGGCACACTCGAAAAAATGCTGGGATGTTTCAACCCAACTTTGGGTCAAATATGGACTAACCCTACCGTTGGCTTAAATTTGTACATTCAAGTTTTAACCCAAAAGTTGGGTTAATCCATATTTGACCCAAAGTTGGGTTGAAACATCCCAGCATTTTTTTGCGTGCATACTCATTAGATTTCATTAAAAGACTGTATTCAAAGATCAAAGTTCAATTTTAAATCTTTCCCAATCTTTGCCACTATAGGTTTTTGCAAGCAAGAAATCTTTAGGCATTTAAAATGTAATCAAATTTAGTACGCTTGCTTATTCTTTTACGGAATTTTTGTTTATTTATTTGATGGGGACAACGCATGTTAATGAACACTTGTAGTAATACAGAATGCAAACAAGCCGGATTATAGCAACATTGCTAATTTACATCCGCAGTCCCTTTATATTAATATATATTTATCTAAATATTTTAATAGGTACAGGTCAGAATAAGTATGGTGTTTCACATAAATCTGTTGCGCTGCATGATTATTTCACCCATTTTTGACATTTTATTTTCACATAAGTTATTTGAAAGATTAAAGCAGACACTTTACTTGCATTTCATAATTAGTTACTGTACTTGAGTACTTGAGCGAGTGCAACTTTTACTCTCTACTTCACTACATTTTTGAATCGAGATATACACTCTTTACTCTAGTACCTTTGTAAGGAGTCATGCAATTACACATTACATTGTGCATGGCACCAGGCTTTTCTGCAGCTGTTTATTTCTGCTACAAAAGAAGGAATATTATCATCTACAGGGCACTGAAAGCACTATATCATGTGCATTTTGCCCTTACTCACCCAAACTTGTCAACAAGGCTTTTTTATGCGAGTGCATTAGCAGGTAGTTGTGAATCGCTGGTGTTTTATATACGTGACCCTGCAGCACAAAAGCAGTCTTAAGTCGCTGGGGTATATTTGTAGCAATAATTGTTTAATTGTGCAGGGGCAATTTTTGCCCCTTTATCTTGAATTTGTGGGGAATTTTTGTTCAGTTTGGTGGCATTTTTGCCACAAGCCCCCGTTAATTTCCGACCATGCTGTAAACGTTTTAAAACAACATGTGACTGCTTCAACTCGCTCCAGACGGCCAAATTCAGAAATGCATAACTCAATCTAGCAAAGCTCAGATTTTCGGTGACTTCAATTGCTTTGAAATGATTTAATTCTAAATCACCAAACTGCATCACGTCTGCAAGATGTCTGTTAAAGATCGCTTCATCTGGAAAGCATCTGCTGTGTACAAACATCTGATAGACATCTTTAAGATGCCAGTTTTACGTTCAATCTAAATCATAAACATCTTAAAGACATCTTCTAAACGTCTATTTGACGTCTGATAGGAAACGTCCTGTAGACGTATTGCAGATGAGCAAACACTCTAAAAAATACGTCTTGCAGATGTAATGCAGACGTCAAATAGACGTCTCCGTGATGTACGTGTGCAATCAGGGTGTGTTTTCATGACTTTTGAGCACTTGTGCACATCGATCACCTCCTCGAAGTTAATGATTAAAAGCTGACTTTCATTTAAGCTTTTTCTTGCCGTCATACAGTCGCAGTTGCAAATCGAGAAGTGCTAAAAACAGAAGTGCTCAGTAGTTCGAGGGAAAATAACATGCGATTGGTTTCCTCTTTTTTTCATTGTTTTCCTTACTCTTGATCTGACAGTTCAGCCCAGACTTGTACGTTAAAGCTCACGCTATACAACCTGTAACACCACATATCAACATACAGTACCATCGTTAACATGTCAAGCTAAATAGTTTACAAATGCAAAGAGATATGTGCTTTATATAACCAATAAAACTCCCAAAGCCAAACATAAGTGAAAATAAGCACTCGGTTTACAAGGGAAAGTGCGATCCTACACGAGTTGTCGCTGTGAAACTAGCGTCTCTGTACCTGTGAGTAAACACACTCCTCCTGAAGCCGCTGCTGCGGAGCGTTTGAGAGGTTCGGAGTGAACGTAACCTCGCCGTACTGAACCTCCTCTTTCTTATCCTTCTTCTTCCTCTTTGTCTGCGTTTGGACCGCGGCGTATTCCACATCAGCAGCCGGGAAAGATTCTGCGGCGAGAAAGGAGAAATGATGACAAGACGTTCTGGATAGCTGTTAGTCACTGCTAGTCTACTGCAGAAATAGCAGCTTTAACACAACTGCTAACTGACAAATGAAGCTTTCCAGGACTGAAACTATTTCACTGAGAAAGTAGCAAACAATAATGATGAAAAAAGATCAAATCCAGTGCAAGTTTAACTAGCGATGGGAAGATCGGATCATTTTAACGACTCTCTTGCTCATTCTCATTCAATAAAATTAACGAATCTCAGTCATTTCGTTCATTTGAGCAGCTAAATATTAATCTTTGATCATATTCTAAATTAGAAAATCATTATTTTGCAGCAAAAGATATGCAAACAAGTCCACTTCCTGAGTCTTTCAACAACACCCTGATTGCACACGTACATCACAGAGACGTCTATTTGACGTCTGCATTACATCTGCAAGACGTATTTTTTTTAGTGTTTGCTCATCTGCAATACGTCTATAGGACGTTTCCTATCAGATGTCAAATAGATGTTTAGAAGATGTCTTTAAAATGTTTATGATTTCGATTGAATATAAAACTGACATCTTAAAGACGTCTGTCAGATGTTTGTACACAGCAGATGAAGTGATCTTTAACAGACCTCTTGCAGATGTACCTGTGCTATCTGGGAAAATATTCATATGTAATACACATACATTTAGACCTCGGGATGTGACTTTCAACCAGCATAACAAAAAATGTTTTTGAATTCATTTTCACCTAATCTGCCTTTAATGAAAAAAAAAAAAATCAAACTCTACGTCAGAATGAGTAACGAGTTGCAGATTTAGCCTAGCGTCGAATGGTTGAGCTTGACTAGTCAACCCTGCAATTGAAGTCTTTCCGTCATCCTGTAGAAAGAGTTTAATGATGACACTTTCTCTGAGTCACTTCTCTATTTGTGTAAAAAGGGGAAAAACACAGTAACAACTTTGCACTGAACATGTGATGGGAACTCATTCAGAGCTAAAGAATCAACTCCAAAAGAGCTGAAAAGATTCGTTCACTTAGTTTTGAGTTTTAAACATTATCTTAATCCATAAAGCAGCTTTCAAACGTTAAACTAAGTGATTTAAAAAAAAGACAGATGCAAACAGTTTCTACTTCATCTTTTCTTTTAGTCTGAATCTGAAGTGATTAATCAACAGGAAGGTGATAGTCACCGTATGAGCTTGAGTTTTAGGGAGTAGCGTCACTAATTTAATGATTGAGAATAATAAACCACAAGCTGACAGATTCTTGTGTTGTTTTACAGTGTAAAGTTGATCTCTGAGCTTCACTGAGTTTCTTACCTGTATTCTTCTTTTCACCCTTTTTCTCATGAGAGATATCAGCGTATATGAGCTCTGGTATCATATGCACGCCAACAAATATCGTATCATATGCACGCAAAAACTGCGTATCATATGCACGGCAACAAATTTTGTATCATATGCACGCGAAAACTGCGTATTATATGCACGCCAAAGTCCATTTTTGCGTATCAATACCATGAGTTTTCATTTTTATTTGGCGTACTATTTATACGCATTTTCATGAGACCGGGCTCATCAGACTGTTTGCATGTAACGCACTGAGAAAAAAGCAAGGAAAGAATACAGTACGTGAGGTCATATATTCACCAATATTTGAATATCTTTGAGTCTTTGAAACTTTTGTAAATATATAAGTAAATTCTGAGTAATTTGCACATAGAAAGTACCTTCCCAAAAAATTCACAAACGCTTCATTTAACCTCAGATTACATTTTCAGATTACAGATTCCAGTCATTCATAAACAAGGCGTGCATGTCTGCACATTTATAATTGGCTAACTTTTAACTAACTGCTTAACTAATTAATTTTGTAATTATATACTATTATGGTAATGTAGTGTCAAAAGAGCACTAAACATTTGGATGTTTTATGCACGTTTTACATGTTGGAAGCTGGTGTAAATTTTTCAAACCAACCAGCATTTTAAAAATACAAATACTTTCATTAATCAGAACAGCTTTTAGAACAATTTACATTAAAAAACATTAAATATGCTCATGTTTCATGAATGAGGTCGAATGACTTTAACTTTGCTATTCATACTGTGATCAAACTTAAGTACATAAATTAATGGTCAAAAATTATTATCAAATAATCTGGTTAAAACTAAATACTTTTCTTTCTAAATATTCATGAGGCTTGAGGAATAATATTGTTTCAAAGCCTTTCTGCCATTTTGCACCAATTTTAATCCCAGAAAGTTCAAATCTCCACCAAAACTGGCTCAGATCATCTTCATCACATCTATAATGTTTCTACTTTGGCTTTTGGTGTAATTGTGTTTGAAACTGTCTGTAAGAGAGTGCAATGAACAAACACATCTCTGCAGCATATATAACACATAAGATACAAATAGTACTACATTTGAACCTTCATCAGTTAGTATATGAACTAGCGATTTAAACACACTGACCTGGTGTCGACTTGAGCTGCTTCTTCTTGTAAATATAACACACGGTGAAGAACAGCAGAATGAGGACCAGAGCAACGCAGCCCAAAGCAATCAGAGAGAATTTTAAAACTATGGAAGAAAAAACACAAGGTCACTTAAAACAACCTCCAAAACTGCTTTGAAAAGTTCATTCATAACAACTGCAACAGCAACAAGAACAGAACAACTTCATGCAATTAACAGCACAGTGAATTAGTTCAAAAATCATATTAGCTACAGAAGAGCCTGTAAATCCCTCACTGCCATCATTATTATTGGGTTTATTGGTAATTTGCAGTATTTGTTGTTGTTCAGCACTCACACATTCGTGGAAATTCTTCAAGGCTCTGAGTGTGAGTTTGATTCGTATCTGCTGATGAGAAACTCGTACCATTTTCTGATGACTGTGTCGACGTAGAGGTCAAACTAGAGGTCACAGCTGCAGTAGTTGGTCCTGAAATAAAACATCAGCACAGAATCACCTGCTTTCTCTCTTAATATGAAGTACTACATTTTTGAAGAATTAAATGGGCAATTAAGAGAATCGATTTGTCTGAATCTCATGAAAACAAGGACACATTCCAGGTCACATTTCAGTTCAGAACTGCATGTAGTAATACTGTAAATATTTTGCATGTTTCATTTAATGTTTTTATGGGCATTAAACTGTTTTGAATTGTAATATTTACCCCTCAAATATAATTTCTGACATATGAGGAAAATGCAAAAAAATTAAAAATAATAATAATAATACATGAATGCAAATAAATAAATAAAATTATATTATAAAAAGTAAAGTATACATACTGTAATTATAGTATTTTTCCATCTTTATATTAAGTTATAATTAAAATCTAATTAAAATCATCATATTATCATCAAAAATGTACCTGAGAGAAATTTATCATATGCAACTGCAGTAATAAAAATCAAATAAATTATCTTTGTAAATAATGGCAATTACAAAAATAAACTAAATTCTTGAACATTATAGTAATGAAAATTTAGGATATGGGAGTGTTTTTAAGTGTCATGCAAATAATATCACAATGCAAATAAAATGAATGGTTGTAAAATAGTCCTTATGCAAAATATAATTTCTTTTGATTTTTTGGGTGAAATTTTTGTTTGTTGTTTATAATTTAGTGCCACTCCAGCTACTGTCAAGAAATAAGTGAAAACAAGTAATATATATATATATATAAACAAATAAGAAAAAGTTTTTAAAAAGTTTATTGTTGATTTAAAAAAAATCTAAATCTGGTAACACTTCATTCAAAATCTTTTATTATGAATTAACAAAAAAAAAAAAAAAAAGTGCTGTTGCTGTTGTCTAGCAAATACTTCATTCATGTATTAGAAGCTCACCAGTAGGACAGACTAGTCTAATGGTCTTCTGTGCGTGACTGACGTGGTTCTTCACGCTGCAGCTGATGTCTCCATCAGTTCCCTCATCCAGATCAATGCTGCTGTTTCCATCCATCAGTGGATCTCCATTCAGAGTCCAGCTGTAGAGGAGCTGATCCCCCTCAGAGGAGCAGAACACATGAGAGTCACATGACAAACACAGGAGAATCTTGTTCTTCCACACGACTCAGGCCCTGACCCAATGCCTTGTCCAAATACCCACACTCGCGGTCTTTGCACTTGACCACTTGACTACATCTATGAAGGGACACACTTATAGTGTTGTAAAAATGCAAGTGTTTACAGAGCCTTATTTTTATTTTCAATACTTTGCATATTAAAATCAACTTCTAAATGTCTGTTCAGTAGTCTCTTTAACAGATGACACAATTTAATTTTGTGGTGCTTCTAGTGATAAAATGCATTGCATATGTTGTACAAAATAATTATCACCACTACTCATTTGCACCAATAAAACATGCAACTCTTTGTT